ACACACACACACACACACACACACACACACACACACACACACACACAGAGCTGGTTACAGAAATACCTTTCACTCAAATGTGTAATCAAATGGAAAGGGGAAAAGAGGGAGTGGGAATTACAGGAAGGTAGACTAAGGGAGCGATTAGTCCTAAGCAAAATAAATTCTAAGAATGTACAAAATTTTATTACAGCTCTTTTTGGGTTGGCAAGGAATGAGAACACTTGGTCCTTGTCCACTGGAGAATGAACAAGTTATGGTATATAAATGTGATGGAATACTGTTGTGCTAAATTTTAATCACTGACCTTATTAATGATTAATCACGATTCCACAGGATTAATGATGAAACATGCTATCCACTTCTTGAAAGAGAGTGTAGAATGAGTACAGAATGAGACAAATATTTTTTAGGATGTGGCCAATGTGGAAATTTGCTTAGACTGACTATATATGTATGCACAATGATTTTTGTTTTTCTTGTGTTTTCAATGGGAGGAAGGGGGAGCTTGGCATAGAAGGGTTAGAAGGATCTTAGCAGATTAAAATAAATAAAATTATACACACTTATGTGCATATATATGTGTATATATGCACATATATATTCACACACACATAAGTATATGTACACGTGTGTGTATGTGTATATGTATGTGTGTATGTATACAGATATACATATGTATGTTTATGTAAAAAGAAAATTTGGGAGCTGTGATCAACACATTGACTAACCACAAATCCTGAGGCCTCATGACGAAATATGCTGCCCACTTCCTGACAGACAGGTGAGCAACTCAGTACAGATTGCGACATTTTGTTCAAACGTAACCAATGAGAAATTTTGTTTTGCTTAACTATACATACTTGTAACAGGGGTTTTGCTTTACTTGCTTCCTCAAGGTGGGAAAAAGGCAAGTGGGAGAGAGAGACGGCTGACCTTTATTCGAAAATAAAATAAAATTTAATTAAAAAAATTAAAACTAGAGAAAGTGAGGGAAAAAAAGACACTTGCCTATTTTGTACTTAAAAAAATTAAGATTAGACATATTAGTCACCTGACAAATTTTGCCTATTGGTATCAGTCTCCCTGCTACCAGAAGGAGAACCTGGCTCTGGAACATTGTTCTCTGTCCCTCCAATAAGTGGCCGCAAATGGCTTATAGATACTTGCTCAATAAATGATGTGCCATACTTCCGGAAGTACCACCATTCAAATATCTGTAAAAAACAGAAAATAGTACTTAAGACAGATATGGTCACTATGCATACAAAAAGTCAAATTGACTTTTTTTTTAAAGTTGTTCCCATTTAAGTCAGTATTTTAAACCAGATCTTGTTCTTAAAACAAAACCAAATACAGCATCTCCCAATAAAATATACTAAACAAAGAAACATCTCCTTTGCCATAAGAGGTTTTAAACAACCTCAAATTAACCTAGAAGATACTTAATCTATGAAAACTTGAAAAACAGTAAAAGTAGGAATTGTATTTATTTCATCCCCCAAATTTAACTTTTAAATAATCTAACACCTATTTTATATTGCACTATTAGTAGTATAGAAAGTTTAAAATAGGAATAAAGTAATATTGAAATAGCTATTATTTTTTAAAAAGTATTAATTCAGAACAGCTGAAGTTCCACATTGAACACATTTATAAAATACAGCAGTCACAGCTTTCCTGTTTCTTTTCTTTTCCCGTTTTTTATCGAGGCAACTGGGGTTAAGTGACTTGCCCAGAGTCACACAGCTAGGAAGTATTATGTGTCTGAGAACGGATTTGAACTCCGGTCCTCCTGACTCCAGGGTCAGTGTTCTATCCACTGTGCCACCCAGCAGCCCCTACCTGTTTCTATAGGATACCAAAAGCAACACATAACTCCAAAGCAAAAATCTGCAGGCAAGTTATCACAATGCTTTGTATTCCAACATTAAAGTGCCCTTTATTCTGAAAATAACCAAACTTATTTTATCAAATTACACACACACACACACACACACACACACGGTGTAATAGAAAGAGCTCCACGTCAGAGTTCCTAGATTTGAATCCCAGCTCTGCTATTTCTTGACCTCTGGCAAGTCACAACTTTCTTGGTTTAAGTCCTCAAGTGCAAAAGGAGGAAGGACTAGATGATTTCTCAGATGTCTTCCAGCTCTAAATCTATGATTCCATATATACATGAATGTTCAAAGGATCTATGATTTCTTCATTATGGGGAACTCCAAGTATGGGAATTCCCTTCATGACTCAGATGGCAATTGAGCTATAACTTAGTAGATCCATCCTAAGGAGTTGTCTGAGACACACACAAGTTAAAATACTTCAACTTACCAAAAAAAAAAAAATACCTTAACCAGGGTCACACAGTTAATCAATATCAGAGCCAGGTCTTCTTAAATCCATGGTCAATATTCTATGAACTATTTTGCTATCCTATCACAGATTCCATATATTCACATTTTAAATGAACAGTTTTCCACATCTTGACTGCAGAAATTTAACTATAAGAGGCTCTCATTCATACATATGTGTGTGTATATATATATATATATATTTCTTTCAAACAACCAACTGAAAAGACAGTCTTCTGCTAAATGTGTTTTCTTTTATTTAAAATATAAAGCTTACCCACAACCAAAATTATAACCATTCTTAAACTTTTGATATAACCACAAATATATCAAGTAAATGGATGTCTGAAAAAATAAAATCTTCCAAAACTTCAGTAATTTTTTTTTTGCTTTAGTAGGCATTATGACAAATACGTTAGACAAACTAGGGGTTTAAACCGTCATTTTCCAGCACACTAAAAACGAATTCATATAAATAAATACAATTTCCCATCATCCTGATAGCCCGGACTAGAAAACTTGGTATAATTGACTACTCTTTCCTGCTCACCACCCACATCCAAGTACTAACAAGTATTGTCAGTTCTACCTCTAAAACATCCCCCACAGCCATCTCTTTATCTCTATTAACTTGACTACCATTCAAGTTCAGGCCCTAGTCATCTCTTACATAGAACACTAAAATAATCTTCAAAATGGTCTCCCAGTTTTCTCCTCTTACATTTCATTTTTCACACGGCTATCAAAATAATCAATCTAATGTATAAGTCGGCTGTCCAAAACACTGCTGCTTAAAAATATTCAGTGGCTTCCCAGGGCTTAGAAAATAAAATTCAAACTTTTTAGCCTAACATTTAAGGTCTTCTGCAATCTAGCTTCAACCTACTGCATGTATCCATGCTTCAACCAAATAGAACTCCGAGCTATTCTCCAACCTCATGCTGTTTTCTTTGCATCAGTACATTCATTCAGGCATTTGCTTCTACCTTCCCCCGTGCCTGGAATATATTCTCTCATCTTTTTCACCTGTTTAAAATCCTTCTCTTCTTTCAATGCCCAGCTAAGGTGTCACTTCCCCATGAAACCTTTCTGGATTCCTACTCCCAGTCCCAAAATGATCTTTTCCTCCTTAAATTTCTTAAAGCATTTGGTCAGGACCTTTATTATACCCTGTAACACAATTATTTGTCTATATGTCTCAACTCTTCTACTAGCTGATAAACTACCAGCAGTAAGACTGTGTGCCGAGCTGGAACTCAGGTGGACTCCCTTTCTGCTATCATCCTTCAGCTGTTTCATGCTTGACCTGAAATGGCTTAATTCCACTTCTATTCCTACCAAGACAACAGGGAGTTAATTATCACCAAATGCGGTCCCAGTTTAGTGTCTTCCTAAGAAGTAGGAAGAAAATTCTTTAAAACAGAGAACATTTCACAAGTAAAAATTGTTCATGAGGCACAAAAACTAAAATTTGATTGCTTCAAAGTCAGGAAAAACAAATTGTCCTTCACCAAATGAACTCCCAATGTTTTTTTTGCAGCAACTACAACACCATAAAATGTTGGCTCCTACTGCTTTTTAACTACTACACTGGTGTTATATTATCATACTTTTTTCACAACTTCCCTCAAAATATGTAAATACAAGGAATTTATATTAAACACATGGTCTTATATAACGAATACTAATTTACAACATGTAGAATGAGAGTTAAAGATACCATAGAAACTTTATTTGAAAACCCATTGGTTTTAGGAACAACTTTTAGCTATATTTCATGCATACCTAGAATCAGAACAAAATAGATTTAACTCTGAAAACTCATGTTTTTATTTAAAGCTGCCATCGAAAGTTTATGTAAATTTCCCTTCTTCTGCATATTAAAAACCCACTGGTTTGAGGCATAACCTTTAGATACATTTTATGCTTATCTAGTAATACGTTTAACCATGAATAAAATTTACAAATAATTTCATTTTGAGGCCTATATTTCACACTTAGTTTTTACTCTGGATTCCTTAATAATGCACAAAAATGAATCAAAGTAATCCATTTCTTATGACCAGCTTTTCACTTTAATTCAGTGGTCAATACACTAAAGTTACTGTGAAACATCTGGTACAGCTAAACACCATTATTTCTACTACAGCTGGAGAGCACCACCTAGAGAGAAGAAATAAGAATAGAAAGTTCACTAGTATAAACAAGCTACACTCCTGCTTTTTTCAGATTTTTACACATTCACAATTTACTTTGCCATCATCTGTTTTTCAAGATTTGCACTAATAAATGCATAACATGAATGAAAAAAATTCAAACTACTTACAAATATTAGTCCAGATATTAGAGATGATGTCCCTGTTAGTGCCACATAGAATTTTGGAGTCAAAGAATTTAAAAATGCTGTCACTGCAACGAGAAAATCACGTCCAAGTAAAAAAACACTCAAATTCTGAGATATATTTAATGAGGATAAAAACACAAACGTACATATGAATAAAAGTCATTAATGTAGAAAAATCTCATTTTGAAAAAATGCAAATTCCAAAAAGATTACTGGAAACCAATAGCTTCCATTTTGTTATTACTTCTTATGCAGAATTAAAATCTAATCTTCTTAGAATTTTATGTCATTAATTTGCGGAATTCCAAGAAGCATTACAAAATCAGAAGAGTGTTTGCTTTTGTGAAGGAAACCAATAACCTCTTAGTCATACTCAATTATATTTACTTTTCTAAGTGAATGGAGATCTTACTAAACTTTCCTAAGATAGAGCTTTTACTAGAGACACCAAGTCACTCCTTAATTGTTTTGCTGAGGTAAAGGCTTATTTTTTCAAAAAAGAATACTGAAATTTGACCCAGAAAATGGAGGGCATGAATCAGGAACCATTCATTCTGAGAAAGTCTTTCTGGGGTACTGTGTAGAGAATCAAAACAAGTCAATAATAAATGGAGCAGGGGCAGCTAGGTGGTACAGTGGATAGAGCACCAGCCCTGAAGTCAGGAGGACCTGAGTTCGACTCTGACCTCAAACCAAACACTCGACGCTTACTAGCTGTGTGACCCTGGGCAAGTCACTTAACCCCAATTGCCTAAAAAAATCAACAACAACAACAAAAATTAATGTAGCAGAAAGAGCTCTGAGAATGATTTTGACTTTGGTTCTTTCCTCATACTCTAAATAATGGATTAAGCCAAGGGTGGGGAACCTAAGGCCTTGAGGCCAAAGGTTCCCCAACCCTGCATTAAACATTTACTTTGGGAAATTGCTTTTCTTAAATACTCTAAGTTTTAAGAAGGAAGTTTTTTTTAAAAATTAAAAGTCAAATATGACATGTAAAATAGAACATGAATGGTTAAAATGAGGGATGTAAATTTGTCCTCAGAGAATACTGCAAATACTGAGTGTATAAGTGCAGCAAAGTGAATTGATAAGACCAGATTCATTCAACTTTTAATCCAAGTGACTATTTTATTCTCTCAGTGCACCACAGAATAATGTTTGCTGGACTCATTTATTGTTTGTGGTTCTGCTTATTTCTTGAACTACATCACACTACTGCCAAGAATAAAGAATAATAAAGCCTAGCCAGGAACCTCAGGAAAACAACTTCTTGGGCAGCAGGAAGGCATCTTTGTTCTTCCTCAAACTTAGTCTTGAGTTTTCCACCTGTGAGTCTCGTTTCTAATGTTCCCTGTGTGGAGTGTCCTCCCTCCTCCACTTCAACCCAGGCCCAGTTCAAATGTACTTGATCTTCACCAATATCTTCTTGTCATTTTCATTTTACTTTCATATCCTACCTTGTATTACAATTTACACTTTATTATTACAGATTATGTCCTATCCATTAAGGCAAAGATCACGTCTCACTTTTCTTTGTATTGGCTATGGTACCTTGGGTCCAAGCCTGTGATTTAATCAATGTAGGAAATTGGTGAGGAAATTCCCTCTACTAAAAAGGACTAGTTACCAGTTGCTCAACAACTTACAGTCTTAGAGAGCTCCTCAGGGCACTGAGCAGTCCAGTGACTTGTCCAAGGTCACACAGGCAATATGTTTCATACTTAAGACTTAAGCCCAGTTAACCCAGAATCTACAGTCTGCTCTCTAAGCATCATACCTTGCTGCCTCTCAAAACAGTTTCTTCCAAGACAAGAATCAAAGGATTTGGAGCTAAAAGATGCAAACCCACCATTATACAGATGAGAAAAATTAGGCCAAAGAAATGAAATGAGTGTTCAAGGTCACTGAGGCAGTAAGTATTCAAACTCAGGTTCTGTAACTATAAATAGTGTGCTTTCTACTGTACCCAGCTACCTTTACACAGAACAGGATTTCATTATTTATCTACTGAATGAACTTCTTGACAGAACATGCCAAAAAACACAAAAATCACTAACTGGTTAGATTGTTGCAGTAGAGTCAAATAGAGAGGGGAGTCGTAATCCACCTATAAGGATCCTGGAGGGCTGCATATAGACCTAGTTTTAAAATGTAATATGTATGTTTTAATGTATTTTTATCTATTTCATTAAATATCCCAAGAGTTTAACCTGCTTCAGGCACTCAGGAGTGTTGCCAGCCTGACACTCCTGGCTTATGGCAACACCGCTAAGGAAATCTTTTAAGAACCGGTGTGACAGTAATCCTTCGAGTCCCCCACCCCAACCAGGAGAGGGAGAGAAGTCAGATTTCTGATTATTAAAAAAATAATAATTTTAAAAAGAGGACAGGTGTGACGGTGCGATGCAATAAACACACGGCGTCCCCAAAATTTTAGGTTTTTCTATCTTAAATTTAAGCTTTAATAGGGATTACAATTTAAATCTGCACAAAGATCTTTTGGAACAGTTTGTATTTATTAAGCTTCTGCTACGTGCAAAGTTCCATGTTAAGTGATGGCGAGATAGAGTCAAAGAACACCCCAAAATTAGTTTCTGCAAAATATCCATCAATATGTATTGATGCCAGGCAATGTGCTGTAGGGCTGCGCCTCTCCCAGCGTCCTCAGGCATAAAATGAGGATGCCGGGACAGGGCACGCCAGCCAAGCCCTTGGCTGCCGAGGGTTAAAGAGCACGGCGGGAGTGTCGGTACTGAAGGGTAACAGCCTGCTCCGGGCTCGGCTCATGGGAGCGGAGCGCAGGGAGGGAGGGGAGGAGCCCGCGCCGGCTCAGCCCGGGCTTCACTTTGACAATCAGCTGCATCAGCTGCAGGCCACGGCGGGGGGGGGGGGGGGGGGGCCCGGGGGCGGACGCGGCGCCCCTCCCCTCTCCCTTCCCCCTCCCAACTCTGCCCCGCGCCCTAGGGACCCCGCGCCCGCCCGCCTCAGCTCACCCTCCACCCCCGGGGCTCCCCCCGCCTCAGGGCGGCTGTGGCCTCTCACCCGCCGCCAGATTCTCACACAGCCTCAGGGGAGCTCTCAAAGCGTAGAGCAACCCCAGGCCGGCCACGACCCACAGCGAAATGCCAGCCCCCGCCAGCCCGACCCGCAGGCGCTGGGCCCAGCCCGCGCACGAGCCGTGGCCCTCGGGAGGGGGAGGAGTGGGCGCTGCCGAGGCCTCCGCTGTGCCGCCGTCCGCCATCTTGCACGTTCCGCGGACGCTCGGGAAAGAGGAGGCGGAGGCGGCGGCGGGAATCCTGGGATAGCGGCGGACCTGAAGGAAGAGCGCGCAGTGATAAGGGAACCCTAGGGATCCGGGGAAAGACGAGATGAGCCTTTCCTTCCGGCCCTGGGTCCTTGGGGCTGGGGGAAGAAACGTCTACGGTCCTCTGCGTATGTGGACGGGACTGAAATTCGCGTCCCATTCTGAGGAGTTGATTATCATTAGTAGGGGCTTTGCTGATAGTGAATCTCCACTGACACTCCCCATCCGCCTTACAGTTCCCTAAGGAGCCACGGAGTAAGCTGTGCTGTGGACTGGGGGTAAGGGGAGTGGTTATCATGAGCCCCGCACATGGGGACGAGTCACTGCCAGCCGGCTGACCCAAGATTTGTGGCTTCTGGGCCCGTCAGTGCTAGTTAGTGCGAGAAGGAGAAAATGAATGGCTTGGGAACCGTCCGAAACAAATATGGCCTCCCGGGGCTCTTCCGCTTAGTGCCCTTAAGGAACATGGCGCAGCTGCGGACCCAGTTTCCGGAAGGCTCCCCACCCCCTACGTCGGGTTCAGTCATCCCGCTTCCTTCCCGGCTTGCTTCGCGCGAGCCGCCGGGCTGGGCCAGAGCAGCCCAAGATGGCCGACTTCGAGGATCGGGTGTCGGATGAGGAGAAGGTAGGGACCGGACCGCCCCTCGCCTCCCCCCACCCCCCCATTGGAGACTCGATAGGGTGAGGGTTCGACCCGGCTGGATCGGGGCTTTGATGGAGCCCCCAGAGAGAAAGGTCTGAGCGGGGCAGGGCAGGAGGCGGCGCGCGGCACTCGGGGCGCGCACCTTGTCTGTCTTCTCCCCCGGGGGCTCCCCGCCGCCTCTTGGGGGCCGCAGTTCCCCATTCCTCCGCTCGCTTCTTCCCGGCCGGGCCCGGGCCGCTGCCCCTCCCGGCGGTCACGCACCCGCAGCCCCCAGAAGGCCGGGAGTCTCCCCTGCTAAATACTGTTCGTGAGCTGTTTAAAATAGGGGGGAGGGAGGAAATCGCGACAAGTCATGATATGACACCTCTCCCCCTTCCTGTTTTCTGTCCTCTCCTTCACCCCATCCCACTCCCCAAGTTCTAGCCGTGACAGGGGCTTTTGCTGGGCGAGTCACTTCCTGGTCCGGGTGGCCTCCTTTTATTTATTTATTTTTCTTCTCTTTTCCGCCCCTCCTTTCTCAGGAAGGACTGAGACTGTCGGGACTCCTCGACTGGGCGAGGCTGGGGGTGCCTGCCCTCAGGGAGCCCTGGCCAGGCTCACCTTCCGCGGGAGCCGGGCTTCGGAACCTTGGGATGTAGCTCTTGAGCATCCTTTCTTTAAAAGCTGGAGAGCGGATAATTTAGGTCTTTTTGCCCTTCTCGTTAACATCTAGTAAGTTTGAGGAGCCAGTAAAAAGTGTACACAGACGAACGGAATCGTGGTTTCTCTCTCTGTTGCTTTTCATCTCTTTGGTGCTCTGTCCCCGTTTTCTCTCACCTTTGATCCAGCTGTTGAAATTAACTTAGTGTTTCACTTATTAAGAAATTTAGGTAAAAGCGAGGCCATGTTACTGGGTGGGTGAGATGAGATCTTTCTCAATTCCTGGTTGTTTGTGATTTTTTTTGGTCTGCAGCTTTAGGTAGTTTCTGCTGTAGTCCTCACACATGCTGTGGGGGTTCATTAAATATTGGTAGGTATCAAAAATGTGAAAGATTGAAAAGTAGGACCTGTTTTCTTAGGTCTGGTTCCGTGGATAGACTCACACATGCTTTTCAATAGAAGTTGAATTAATGCTAAAGACTTAAATCTTTAAACTGCTCTTTAAGCACTAAGATTTCTCTTATTTGGTTCTTATTAATGCTGATAACTTAAAATGCAAGTCATTAATAAAATTTTTTCCAGGCCCCAAACAATGACCAACTTAATTTTATGAAGTAAGAATTACAGCAAAATTTCTGTGCAGCAAAAGGATTTGGACATTCACGGATTCTGTTGTACACAAAACATACTCTTTTAGCATTTTGCTGCTTCCCTGTCATGTTGGGTAAGTCTCATTCAGCAAGCATTCATTAGTCAGCTACTATGCACTAGAGAGTGCTAAACAATGGATATAATCAGTATATCCTTTTAATTAAAACTGGATTGAGAACCTAAAACTGATAATTTAGGGAAATTCATTTGATAAGAGCAAATTAAAATGTCTTTGAATATACTATACATATAGTATACCATCTGTTATTTATTTTTAATAGAGAATGATTTATAAGGACATAAACCAGAGAAATCATGTTATATAGGATTATTAAATAAATAAGTTGACAAATGTTTAAATGAATTGCTATTCGTGAAATTTTAGTTGATAAAATATCATAATCTCCAGAGTTGGAAGTATCTTCAGAGGCCAGTTAATCCAATTCATACCTGAGCAGAATCTCTTCTGCAGTGCACCAATAAATGGTCATCCTGCCACACCTGTGGTGATAAGGAATCTCCCGACCCATTTAACTGTAAGATAGCTTTAATTATTAGGAAATTTTTCGCTATATGGAGACTAGATTTACTTTTTTTAATTTCCCCAAATTGCTTTTCTGCCTACTGGGGCCAAACAGAACAAGTGCCATTTCTCTTCTAGGTGATACCCTTCAAATGCTTGAAGACAACAACCATATCCCCTCTTTATTTCTCCCCATAGTTTTCTCTAAACTAAAGAAATATTCACCTAATATCAACCTGTTATAAGATACCATATGTACAATGATGATAATAAATCCATAGAACTTATCTCACAAGATTGTTGTAGGGTCACAGGAGATGTTTGTAAAAGGCCTTGCAAGCCTTAAATATGTGTATGTATGTGTCCGACCAAGCCAGAAAATGATCCGACCTGTCACCTCCCTAGTCCTAAACAGCTGCTTCTTAAAGCTGTTTAAATTCTATTAGCTTATTTGTCTGCCATATCATTCATTTCTTAATGAGTTTGAAGTCTTATAAAACTTTCAGATCTTTTTTCACAGGAACTGGCGTCTATTAATGCCTCCTTCATCTTATACTTGTAAAGTTGATTTATTGAATTCAGATGCAGAATTTTGTATTTATCCCTAATGTTGTTAGGTTTGGCCCTGTATTTTAACCTGTCAGGATCTTTTTGGATTTTGAGTTTGCCATTCTTTGTGTTAACAAGTGCTCATAACTTTGTATTAATTGCAAATTCCACAACAGATTTCAATACCAGAACTGTTTCTTCTCATCACCAAGCACACCCCTATTGTCAATGTAATAATGCCAGACTAAGCAAAATGTAATTATGGTCACTTGAAATGATCTCTCACACACACACACACACACACACACACACACACACACACACACACACCCCCAAACTTCATGGTAAACTCTAAAACAAGTAGAAATAGCTTCTGGATTAATTATACTATATACCCCCCCCCCCATTAGTGTGGATAATTGAGAAATGACTACTAAGGTTCCATTCTAACAAATCAGTATGATTTTGATCTTGGTTTTTTTAAATTAACACATTACTAGCAATCATTTGGCTTTCACACCTTTCTAACTCAATTTTCAAGATCTTTTTGAAGATATTTCAGTTTATTGTGTGACTGGGAGATAAGAGTTTTTTTCCCCTCTTTTATGTAAGTTGGAATTTTTGTGATGGTAAGATATGAAGGATTTAAAAAGTAATTTTTACTCATTTGCAGAGAAATAACTATTGCACCAGAGAAATAACGATTGCCTTTCATAGAGATTCTCAATAAATATTTGCAGGTTGAGCTGTAAAGACTCCAGAGCCTCTTCTCACAACATACTGTGTATATGGTAACACCATCAAGTATTTAATTATATTAAATGGCTGTTAATAATAACTAGTTATTTTCCCCACACCAGCCCTTTTGGTGGAGGTAGGTGACAGGCATTGAACACGTATTTTAACATCAGCTTCTGAAGGGCAGAGACTCTGATAGATATTTGTCTTTCTCACCAATGCCTAACACAGGGCTTGCTTGTCACATAGTAGTCATTCACTAAATGCTTGTTGACTCTCACTTTCAATTTTACGCAGAGAACTGAAGCTCAGAAAGATTGAGTGACCCAGAGCTGCCTGTTCTTAGAGCTGGGATTTGATTTGAGACTATTTCCACTAAACTCATTTCATTGACCAGAGGAAATATTTCAGGGCATACTTTAAAACCAGATAAAACAAAGCATTCTTTTTTGGGATATAAAATAATTTTGTTATAAAGAACACTTCCCTGTAGTGTAGCACGATGTATCAGAAAGAACCAGTCTTGGAGTCAAAAGACCCAAGTCCAAATCTCAAACTTACTAGCTGTCGGTAGTTACATGGCCCATTGGGTAGAGCATTGGACCAAGAGTCAGGAAAACCTGAGTTCAAATCCAGCCTCAGACACATAATAGTTGTGTGAGCCTGGGTAATCCCCTTACCTCTTTCTTCCTTAGTTTCCCCCTCTGTTAAATGGAGATAATAGTAGCATTTCCCTCCTGGGGTTGTTGTGAGGATAAAATGAGATAATATTTGTAAAGTGCTTTGCAAACTTTAAAGTACTACACAAATGCTATCCACAGCTATTTATAGCTGTGTGATCTTCAACAAATATCTGAGCCTCTTAGTTTCCTCATCTGTTAAGTGAGGGTTATACCTGTCTTACCCAACAAGCATTTATTAAGTGCTACTATGTGTAGGCTTATTGTGTAAATCTAAAAATTCTTTAAGTTTTGTTCAATTAGAATATACATAATTCTTTCCACAGAAGAGTCAACAAGGTCTTGACATAGCTCAGTGTATTTGTGGCCTCACTGTAATCAGTCATACTCATTTTAACATTTTCTTTCCATTTTTAACTATATTCTGAGTGCAGTGAAATAGAAATTAAGAAAATATTATTGATTAGTGTGTTTATGGTTATGAATGTCTTAAATTTGATAAAAATATTCTTTTAATTAGACTTCAGTCTTCTGTCATATTCACAATTGTGACATTAAAACTGGTTTAAAAAAAAAATGCTAAACATTTCGAGCCCTTGATTTGTTTTCCAGTTTTTCTGAATTTTCAGATGTGTTTTCCTCTTTTGAATTATGACCTTACCTACATTTGGTTTGGTGTAGATTATAAACAGAGAAAGTTTAAGAGGGGAAGATTTGGGGGCTTTTTTTTTTTTTGAGAGTAGAGGACATATTTTAGGGGCAGCTAGGTGACGCAGTGGATAGAGCTCTGGCCTTGGAGTCAGGAGGAACTGAGTTCAAATGTAGCCTTAGACACTTGACACTTACTAGCTGTGTGACTCTAGGCAAATCACTTAATCTTAATTGCCTCACCGAAAAACAAAAAAAAAAAACCCAGAAATGTAAGGATATATTTTGTTATTTTATTTTGACATCACATTTATTTTTAGAGATTTCCCTCTCTGCTTCCCCCACCAGCCAACCTTCCCTTGTATCAAAGATTAAAAAAGAAAAAGGAAAAAACACAATTTATCAAAACCAAGGATTGTTTTTCATAATAACATGATAATACTGAGTATATTTTTATTACTTTTAGATTTTCATAATTTGATTTTTCTGAAATAAGCTCTAAAATAATATTTTCCAAAAGAGTTGGAACTTGAGATTTATTGCTTGATAGGGGC